CGAGAACTTTCAAGAAAATCGTGGTACCCTAGATTCAACAATTTAACCTCATCTCCGGCAAGTCGCTCCCACCGACTCGCGATCGGAACCGCTGAGCCGGTGAGCCGCTGGCAGTGGTCCATGCACCATCCTTTACGACGACTTCGACGTTAAATTAGAATTTCTGAAAGCAGGTCTCTTTTACCGGGAGTTCATTATTTAAATGAACATTCATCGTAAAGGGTTGTCATGTTTTGAGTTAATGACAATTTAGTGACATATAGATCTACGTCAATTTGAAATTTCGTACTAAATGAAGGTCCAGCAGAGTGGGTTTATCTTCCTCGGAGATAAAGAGTTGATTAAACAAGCTGATGAGTTCGTAGGTAAAAGAAATGGGCATAGTCTCAAAATAGATATCAAGAGGATGTCAATTTAATCACTTCATATTAATTGTTTGACTGTGAGTTATTAAAAAGAAAGCTAAACAAAAATGAGCAGGGGTCTCTCGTGGCCTAAAGGTTAAGGTGTTCGCCTCTCATCCAATAGGCCCCGGGTTCGAATCCGGATAGCGACGGAAATTGTTCTTCTCTAAGTTATCTCTTTTCACGTCCTTTCCTAGCCTCTTCTCTGACAAAGTTCTGTCTCTACCCCTCACACTTTTTTGCCCCCTCCTAGCTGTGGGCTCCAGACTCTTTCTGCTGCCTTTCTACTGCTATTCGTTGACTTCTTTTTACTGCTGTCTTTCAGCCTGTCCCCTGATCCTACGGTAGAAATGATCTGCACCTAGCTTTCTCGGACAAGGGCAAAAAATCTCGGAGATTCCGTTTGCAAGTTGCGCACCTTAAAAACCCCTTTGTGGCCCAAAATGGACTAGAGTTAGCATCGGCCGCCACCCGAGCAAAACTAAAAATTTCCTACCAACTGAAAATCTTTAATGGGTCCCGTGTGCTCATATGACCTTAGGCAGTGCAAGCACAGTAAAACTATTACCCCCCCCCCCCCAAAAAAAAAATTTTTTTAAAAATAATAATAATAATAAAAAATAAATAAATAAATAAATAAATAATGATCAATTAAAGGTTGTTTTGTTTTTTTAATCCAACGTTTTGAAATGGGTATCCCCACGGCTTCCATTAAATTTGTGACAATACCTATTATTTCCGTAGAATCCTACGGAACATCTCTTTTTTTGCCACCATTTGTCACAACCACCACACCACCATGCCCCAATCCAACCTCACAAAATCATGAGGTAAAGGACTACTTCAGTCGCCCCCGCTCCTTAATCATAAAATAAGGTAAAAAAAAGAATTTAAGGCTTGACGTAACGGCCATATCCATTCTGGATCCACAGGGAGTGGACACTATGGATATGAACGATAGATCAAACAACTTCCAGATTGGGAAGTGGGGGGTGGGGGTGGGTAGGTGGGTGGGGGGGGGGGGGTCTATGAAGACTTTTGCACAGATTGTTCTATCCAAAGGTTGACAACTTGTGCAGGATTAGCTGGTGCTCTAGTGTTGTTCGTTCCTTCTCTTCTGTCAAGCATATATCGTCCCATCTCTCCTCCTTCTTTCCTTTGTATAATACTCTCTCGTAAAACCTCAATTCTTCGGCGTTTTAAAGACCTATTTGTGTTACAGTTTTCATAAATATCTCCCCAAAAAAATTAGGATATACAGTTGTGACATACAAATGAGGAAATCTAATGACTCAGAAACACGTGATATGTACCCCCTCCTCCTCCCCTCTCCCCCCGCACCCAAACACGCTCCCCTGCTACGATTCCCATCCAGCAACCAAAGAAAATAAGGAAAACAGGATTCAAACCTGCACCAGTCACTGTACAATACAAGCATGAAACGTAAACAAATATGATGACTCCAAACTACGTGTTTACCCCCCTCCCCCGTCCCCCCACCACACACAAACTTAACCTAACCACCATTTCTACCCAGCAACTCAAGCAAAGCAGGAAGACTGGGTTCGAACCCGCACCAGCCACTGCAAGAGCCTACCTGTCTAGCCCCAGCGGTGTCCCGGACGGACAGTTGTCGCAAGCCAATGTTATCTGTGTTCTTCAGAATGCCAGGTCTGCTGGCTTTCCACAGGGTGCACGAAATACGCAGGTACATAAAGGTCATCACACTGTCAGAAGACAGAAAAGAAAGAAAAGCACGCATATTATTTTTCTGATAATGAGAAAGTCAACAAGAGCAGCAGAAGCAGCAGCAGCATTAGTAGTGGTAATAGTAGTAGTAGCAGTAGTAGTAGTAGTAGTAGTAGTAGTAGTAGTAGTAGTAGTAGTAGTAGTAGTAGTAGTAGTAGTAGTAGAAAAATGGTGAAATGGTATGAGTTTAACGCCCCTATCAACACTATTAGGTTATTTAAGAGGCCGGACCTCCTAATATAACGTCCGTCTCCGACAGGACCGAGCCAAGTGGGAAGTTCGTGTAAAGTGCCTTTCCCAAGGACACAACGTCGGACCGAGCAGAGGCTCAAACCCCCGAACCCGCAATCTCACGATTACGAGTCCGGTAGCCTAACCACTAGACTACCGACGGCATTGTAGTAGTAGTAGTAGTAGTAGTAGTAGTAGTAGTAGTAATAGTAGTAGTCGTAGTACTAGTAGTAGTAGTAGTAGTAGTAGTAGTTGTTGTTGTAGTAGTAGTAGTAGCAGTTATAAGTAGAATTTCTTACGAGATCCCAAGCGAAATAAGAATCCTTGGTATAGAAATAACTGTTCAACCCCGATGATATGCTTTCAAATCTATCTGAACACCGTAACGTTATTTTTAGAGGTGAGGACACCGAATTCATTTTGTTTACGTCCATCTCTTACGGAGAGTCCATCTAGTCCATCTCTTAAGTGAGAAAGGTCAACGGACTAGAGGGGAGAGAGAGAGAGAGAGAGAGAGAGAGAGAGAGAGAGAGAGAGAGAGAGAGAGAGAGAGAGAGAGAGAGAGAGAGAGAAGGGGGCAGAGAGAGAAAGACAGCTAGACAGAGATAGAGTGAAATAGATAGATAGATAGATAGATAGATAGATAGATAAATAGATAGATAGATAGATAGATAGATAGAAAGATAGATAGATAGATAGATAGATAGAGAGATAGATAGATAGATAGATAGATAGACACAATACGATGCATTGATATTAGGCTATAAATCTATGTTTTTGTGACAGAGAAGCAAAGGAGGGGTCATGGTTTCCTGTTTTTCACCGAAGGATCAAAATAATGCGAAGACAATACCTTGTTTCAGCATTTATTATCTTACCATATCAAATTTCATAAATCTGCAGGCAAAATGAAAAGAGTAGCATTAACAAGTATTTGAGAAATGCAAAGTATCCTTTCCTAATCTTTCCATTTTGCATATTGCTTTCTCCATTGAGCGTGTTGTTAAATGTCATTGTCTCTTTCTCTTTCTCTTTTTCTTAATTTTTTTGGTAAAGATTGAAGCTTTAAGCTTTACGTCAAGACACATGTTTTTTAAAGAGTGGCGCCTCAAGGGTTTATTCATTTCGATACGCTGATGCCTTCTTAGATTTCCTATGCCCTTGGGGCAATCGTATACACAGGATGATGCGATTAAGGATTAGAAATACAGAACACTTATTTTTTTATACACACAGATAATTTTCAATTTTGTTTCAAAGTTTCACAACCAGGAAGTAATCTGAAGGTGCGTGTGTAGTGGAAAAGGGGGGGGGGGGTGAGAGTGGCACAATTAACTGCAAACTATATTATTGGAAATGACTTTAAGTTGGTTTGATTTACTGTTTGACTATTGGTCTGTTAAGAATAACATTATTTTAAAAATTTAAAACTGAAGTAGAGGAAAAATGCAGGAAAGATCGAGAATTCGGTTCAAAACATTAGGATGGATAGAAGCATAACAGCAATAACAAAAGAACAGTCTCGCAAACAGCAACAACAGAAGTAGTAGTAGTAGTAGTAGTAGTAGTAGTAGTAGTAGTAGTAGTAGTAGTAGTAGTAGTAGTAGTAGTAGTAGTAGTAGTAGTAGTAGTAGTAGTAGTAGTAGTAGTAGCAGTAGTAGTAGTAGTAGTTGTTGTTTGTTTGTTTAGTATAGGGTTTTACGGCGCTCGCAACTGCATAAGGTCATATGAGCGCGCGGGACACACCTAATACTTTTTCGTTGGTAGGAAATTTTTTTGAATTTTGCCCGGGTGGCTGCCGAAGCCTACTCTTATTGATTTTAGACCACCAAGGGATCTTTAACGTGCGTAACTTGCACACGGGCCCTCCGAGATTTTTCGCCCTTGTCCGAGAAGGCTAGGTGTAGATCTTTCCTACCAGAAGATCAGGGGTGTGGCAGAAAGACAGCAGTTAGGAGGAGCCAAGGAGTAGCAGTAGAAAGGCTGCAGAAAGAGTCAGGAGCCCAGAGGAGGGGGCAAAGGAGGTGAGGGGGTGGGGGCAGAAAGTGGAAATGAAAGCAGACAACAGAACATTTTTAGAGATCAGGAAAGGATGTGAAAGGAGACAATTTTAGAGAAGAAAATTTTTTGGTCGCTTCCCGGAATCGAACCCGGGACCTTTGAATGAGAGGCCAACACCTTAACCTCTAGGCCACGAGAGCCCCCGTAGTAGTAGTAGTAGTAGTAGTAGTAGTAGTAGTAGTAGTTGTAGTAGTAGTAGTAGTAGTAGTAGTAGTAGTAGTAGTAGTAGTAGTAGTAGTAATACTGGTTAACTTGTATTTTTATTGTGTTTTTTATCTAAAGGATATAAAGGATACCATTATTGTTGTAATTAGTTGTCATATGTATTGTATCTATAAAGCACTAAGTCCAAATAACCGTGACTGCAACAGCAAAAACAATAACTTCGACAAGCAGCTTATCAAAACGAAAATCGATGCTATTTTCTTTGTCACACATTGATAAGGAATACAATTAGCAATGGCACTGGATGGTCAGGGTGAAACCAACGAGGTTAATAAAGGCCTACCGACATTCACTCATATTCTAACTTGTTAGCTATTTCTGAGCTCATATTCTATGCGCTATTGGCCTTTTTACCCAATCTCATAGCTGTTTTAGTTCCTCGATGCGTGCTTGATTTATAATTGTTTTGGATTATATCTAATGGTAGATTTCGGTGTCCCTATTCTTAAACTTTCTACCAGATTATACCCAGATGATTTTCACGTCAAGACAACGTTCGATTCAAAACGTTGTTTCAATATTTTGTGATTCATATTTATCCTGCCCACATAATATTTATTGTGCTAATTGTATATTTTAGAAAAAATACAGTAACAAAGAAACGTGCAACAACGCATGGGGTATAAAGTGTAATGTATAATGTGTAATATGCACATATAAGCATATTATGGATGGAAGGTCTGATCAATAGACATATGAACATATAGGCTGCAAATACTGACGTCCCCCTCAACACGTAAAGGTTATGTAAGAGAAGGGACCTCAAACCTTACATACATCTCCAAAGGGGCAACGACAGAATAGTGGAGGGTACAAATAAAACATAATAAAACTACCGATGTCTAAAATTTTATATTACTTCAAGTTGAACTCTCTGAGCAAGGGTGCGCATGCGTGTGCGTGGTGAGACACCAAAACCAATGTTCCAGGATCTTGAAAATAAATTTTGATCTTATCTCATCTAATCTTATCTTATCTTATGTTTTAAATCAGAGCCATTACATCTGAAGTAAACATGTTGTGAAAGAAAGGATCGTTATACACCTGCTCCTGTGTGGGGAGAATTTGTATCGAGCATCTCGGTCTTTCTGCTCGGACCTTGCGCCCCTTTTGACCAGAGTTGACTTGACAAGCAGGGTCTAAGACCGCCTAAGTTATCTAAATCACAGCATGTCGTGTCAAACTCAAGGCCTTGCAAGCCGCCTGTAGTCCGGCGGACAATTAATATGTCCGACACGCGAGATATTCTTCATTAACACAGATTTTTACTTCCAACATAAACAAATGTGCTGTAAACAAATTTGTCGAACATCCAGCTCTTCTAAATAATTGTTAAAAGTGAGAAAATTAATATGGCTTGATTTGTTTTGTTTTTTATTTTAGTGTCTGTTGTGATTCCTGTTATTGTTTAAAATGGTTTAGTTTTCCACTGCTCAATGAGTGTTTATCTAGTACGGTCCACAACCTTAAGCCTAATTTGAGTTTGGGCCCCCTTTGCGATTAACTTTGCCATTCCTGATCTATAAATTATTTCGGTGGGGGCTAAAACACCTACATTAAAAATGGAAAAACCTTTAGGATAGCAGCTCTAAAAGATGGTTCGTGTAGCACTGACCTGAGAGGCACGACGTACCACAGGACGAAGTTGACAGTGTAGAAATCTCTCATGTTGGTGTAGGGGTTAGTGGGGAAGCAGTAGGCCACATCTGTCTCGTTCACTCGTGGAATACGAACGAGGTTGAACATGGATAACTCTGGGCAGTTGTAGACCACGGCCACAAGCCAGATCAGGATCTGAGATGGAAAAGGAAATGGTATAGGTTTAACGTCGCTATTATCAACACCGTTAGGTTATTT